GAAACAGCTAGACAAATTTACAGTTTGCAAACAGCTTTAGTTCTAGTGAAATGCTTGTCAGTTAGGACTGTGTGAGTCTCCGCATCACTTTTGTACATGACTTGAGGTAGTTTTTCATTACTTGAGGATAAAATTCTTGGGTTTATGCTTGTATGTTAGTGCTGGGAACATATGGCAAATTGCAAGGATATATACTTAACGATGCAGGATAATTAGAAATTTTAAATTTCTTTAGCGAAGTTACAAACTGTCTGTACTGCTAGATGTACTCTGGGTGATACGTCTTCTAGAGGTGTTCACAGGCTGGGAACGCTCCAGGAAAGAGCATTGGGAAGCTCGTTTTCAACAGCTGAGTTCCCTGAAATTTGCAACTTATAGGATGAAGCCATGTTGGTAGTGCCACGATGTGTGGTCGTTTTTGACAAACAAGAAGCCTGGCTAAGCTAGCAGTCACATTACAATTAACTGTTATTGTGAATTCAGCTAATATCCATAATGATATAACGTTGACAACCTATTCTGAAAAAAAAGGAGGACACAGTATCTTTCAAACCAATATGGAATGAGGTTATTAAACAGAAGTCATGCAGGTATAGAAAGTGGAAAGTAACTATCAAATTTATTGAAGAAGAATTTAAACCAGCATAATTGCAGAGATATTTTGAACCTCCTTTCACTAATACCAGTAAAAATAGAAGTATCTTTTTTAGTAAGTGGAAGTTACACTGTTGGAGAAGGGAATATGATAAGTAATATTTCATTTTAAAGGTAAACTCTGGGGATCTCCATCTTTTTCTGGCTCAGTAGCATGCAGTAGCTTATAAATATATTGGCTTACCAGTTTAGCTCAGTGCCTGATAAAATTACAAGTTCCTTTGATAATTAAAGTACTTGTGAAGCCTGTGTCAATCTTAACTTCCCCCGCCTCAGACTGTTTCTAGACAGGGCAACCTGTGGCCCTGTTTGCATCATCTTGCCCTCCACTGTGGCAGCATTTTTTTGGTTGATCCCAGAATGAAAGTAATTCAATAAGCTAAAATGGTCCCTTAAAAAAACTGAGGGGAAAAAGCCACTGTATTTAGCTCTCATGTAGTTTAGTCCCAGGATAGGTTTGATGTGTGCCAGTGGCAGCAGAAGAGTAGAGCTAGGGCCACAGAAAGGAGAGGACAAACCTGTGGCAGGGGGCCCCCCCACCCGGGGCCCTTGGGGCTTTTACCTGTTGTGAGCCAGCCCCTCAGCGACTGGCTAGAGGAGTAGGCTTCGTTGGGTGCTTCGGCTTGCCCTTTGGGTGCCATGAGCTTCATATTGGCGGAAAGTATTTTGGAAGAGATCTGAAATTCATACTCATAATGAGTATGAATGCTGTAAACATAAAGCATTCATACTCAATTCGTTATCTGACGAGGGTCATATAATAACCCTTGTTTATTGTTTTCAGAAAATTTTGATTATTTCTTTTAACAAAAAATGAGATCTTTAGTGTTTAGTATGAAGCTTTTACTGGATGGTTGAGCTTATTCTATCTATTTGGGTTTTCATTCTAAATAGCAAGCAAGGGTCGTTGAAGCCTATTTGTGTCTGCTTGCTTATTTTTAATAAGTGGAAGAAATGTTGTAGCTGAACTTTATCTAGCTGCTTCTTACTGTTTTTAAATAAACTACTCACAAAATATTTACAGCTATATCTCAGTGTTCATCAGTGTTTGCACTTCTGCTGACCTCTACATGTGGAATGCAGGTTAGGCAAATGTTTAATTTTACTCAGCTATAGCTTTTCCATCACTCAGGAAGTTGCCGTAGAAAAGAATGGATTTTCAGCTTCTCTTCTAAATCACATTATTTCCGTTTCTGCAATGAAAGCTATTTACTTTTCTTTTGTATTTAATTAATACAGTGTTTTTGTAAACTGTCAGATATTAAACACTTCCCTGGATGCTCATGAAGTTTGTTTTTATTTTCCAAATACAGTCAGCAACTGAAGTGGCACAATAAAAATTACCTTGTATGCTTTACAAAAGGAAAAAAATCAGTTTTTGTCAGCTTCCTGTCTAGTCAACAAAGAACCATGAAAGAAAGAGAGGACTGACAAGTTTGTTTCCTTTTGCGTCTGGCAAATGTTGCACACTAAAATAGTATTTCCTGTCTCTATTTTGCTGTACTGTGGTCATGTTCCAACATTTAATTTTTTATTAAAACTGGATTTTCAAATGTCAATTTTGAAAAATGTGGGTTTGAGAAAATTGTGTCTGTTTTTCATTTGGGCCAGACAAGTAAATTAGAGTACATGTGGACAGTACTGATTTTAACTTGTGGCTAGGTTTTAAAAACGCCAAAAAGAATCCAGTTGACAGCCGCATTACTAAAATTGAGTTCCACAGCTGAAAGAGAAAAAAATAAGCTGTTTGACAATCAGTCTAGGTTAGTCCTTAGTTACTGATTTTGAGACAAATTTCTCTTTAATAGATATGCTTATTTGCAGTGCATTGTGCATCTAGAATTTCACAATCCAGTTGGAAGTGAAAATGTTTTTTTGGAATAAAGAACGGATTTGCACAGGAAGAGCTGGCATTATAGGCTCTGCCAGTATGAATGTTCTGGTGTGTTAATGTAAGGACTGAATTCAGAGCAAGTTGGAGGACTGAGGCTTTAGGACTTTAGGGCAATAAAAGCTGCACTGATAATTTGCATTGCCATGTTCTGAAGTCCTCTGTGCCCTAGGGCTGTGAACGAAGAACTGGATCGAGCAGGAGGTGTAACCACCTCAAGTGTGGAATTTAATGGGACAAAGTAGGAGATTTAGACCATCTAATTTCCACCTAAGCCTGCTTACTTCCCATGTAAGTTTGCTGGTCATTAGATGAGGGAGGAAGACAGCAACGCCCCTAAAGAGGTCTGATCCATCCGCTCCTTATAAGCCTGACGCACACAAGTGCCCTGAGTTCTTGCAAGTCCTACAAGCCATTGCTAGCTTTTACATCACGGTGTGGTAATAGTGCTGCTCATCGGGTAGCAGAAGACATATGCTCCTCTCCGTAGCTCCTAATTCTCAGTGGAGTGTTGCAATCAGTAGATTAGGCTGTGGTAAAGGTCGTCTTTGTTCTTTTTATTGAAGTTAGATACAAGGGAGTCATAAACCATCATAAACCAAACTAGCCCAACTATGCTTCTTAAAGACAGAGGGAGGTATTTCCCTGCTTCTGGCAATGCCTGTGCAGGATCTAGGGCCTTGCTGCAGATGTGAGGTGCTGCCTCAGCCATGGGGCATGGTAAAGTGCTTGCAAAGTGGACTTGTGAACTGAAACAGTGATTTAGGGATTGCTTCTCAGTTGTCTGTTGGATTTGTGACCTTTACAGGTTGAGGGCTGAGGGGTTTTTTTTTCTGCTTTTCTTTTTTTTTTCCCTCAGCTTGTTTTCAGATAGACTATTTCCTAATGGACACCACCACTTGGACAAGCCCCTGAGTATTACCACTTAGCTGGTGTTTCTCAGAGAGGAATAGAGGCCTTTGAGATCATTTCTTTGCAACAGCGAAGGAAAGAAAAAGTGCATTTTTGCTCCTTGGTTAGTTGTCTTTGTGCTTCTGAGCAGTAGCTGAGTCTTCACTTCTTTACCGAGCAAGGGCTTTTGTAAAACCGTGAGGTTGGCATTTAAGATACATATCTCTTGCAAGTTGTGACTCTTCAACAGCTGTGGCGGTATCCGTCTGGGGTCTTTAAATATGGAGTAATGTCCTTTGAAATGTAACTAGAACTGAGTGAAGTGTTTCTGGAGTGTGCAGAGTCTTTAGGAGAAAAGATACTGATGTGTCCTGAAGACAAAGCAGCTCATAGTCAATGGCATCTTTGATGGGAGCAAAAGCCAGAATTCACTGGCCTGTTAAAGAGCAGAGAAAGCAGTGCTTCCCCTTATGGCTTTTTAGGAGTCCAAACAGATAAACGAATGACAATTCGTTCCAAAAATTATTAGTTTAACTGAAATGAAGTTGTAACTTGGGGCTTAGGAGAAGATGCCCAGGTAGACTGCTGACTGGCAATGTGTCAAAATATTTGAGAAAAATGCATGCGCTAAACTTCTGGTACTGCTTCGAGTCCAAAATTTGTGGTAGGGTTAGAATGCAAATACTTCTAAACCAGATTTCACTTCAGGAAATACTCTTCCAATTTTAGGCCTGCCCTGTGATACTGTGGTTTTTAGAACTCTCTGTATGCAACAACTGGTTGAAATATTTCACTAGAGTAATTAAATGCAGCTTTTTTACTGTAGCAGTGGTATTGCCATAGCATGAACCTGTTTGGAAGAGCTTTAAGATCTGTGGGGAAGAAAAGTGGGTTTGTGAAATGAAATTTTTGTATATTTTGGCTGGCTGCTAAGTAGACTAAACATGTAACATGCTTTTTAAATCCAGTGTTTGACAAGGATGTTGAACTGCTGTGGTTACTACTGCAGTTTCCAGAATACCATAAGGTTCTTAAAATGTATTAATTGCTCATTAGCAATCTCGTGACTCTTCGTTGAGTCTGCTGGCTGGAGTGAGGCTATCCCTGTTTTACCTGTCTCCTCTTCCCAGTGTTGTTGAGGAGATTAGTGAGCTATCCTCCTATGTAGTGTTGTGAAGTACAAACAATCTATTTTACATTGTTTCTGTTAGTCGTTATTAATTTATTATTTCATTGTCAAATTTTTTGAAAAAGTTTAGGGTCCTTTTAGAAGAAAAGACCACTTCACATGGAATGAGCATTGTTTTAATCAAGAAATTGGTTAGACAGTTCTGATAAAATCACGCAATAAAAATTGCATACAGTCCAGTAAAATTTGACAGACTCGAAATACTCTGGCTGACAGAGTCCTCCTGGAAGCATTTTAATGACCATTTTAATACACCCCTGCAATATGCCATGGAGTCCAGTGGGGACTTCCCTTAAGGTTTCCCTTGCAGAAGCTGAAGCATTTGACATGTAGAAGCAAATCTTCTTAGCAACGTGACGCTGCACCTCTTGCGAGATGGAACTATGCATTGGGGACGTTCATGCCGTGCGGGTACAGCCACCGTTTCAGGGAGCGACTCTCCGTGTACCCACACGTGTACCCACATAAAGCTACGTCATTTCATACACCATGCAAAACCAGATTCGGGGAGGGCTGAAGGGTAAGGAACTAGCTATGGGTAGCAGAGGACTAAGATGGAGCAAACGGACACTATGCATGCAGCCCATGTGACATGGAGGCAGGAGGTCTCCTCGGCAAGATCCAGCCCAGGGTGATCCCCTTTTGAAGAGGGAACTATGCATTGGGGACGTTCATGCCGTGCGGTTACAGCCACCGTTTCAGGGAGCGACTCTCCGTGTACCCACACGTGTACCCACAAAAAGGTACGTCATTTCATACACCATGCAAAACCAGATTCAGGGAGGGCTGAAGGGTAAGGAACTAGCTATGGGTAGCAGAGGACTAAGATGGAGCAAACGGACACTATGCATGCAGCCCATGTGACATGGAGGCAGGAGGTCTCCTCGGCAAGATCCAGCCCAGGGTGATGGTTTTACCTGCACACAACCTCCTCTGCTGGTGGTGAATCATGCTGTGGGAGGGCATTTAACGAGAAATCAGGAGTTGCCCAGGCAAAAGCACCGTGCTCAGAGCCCGTCCGGAGGAATG